AAGAAAAGGTACGAGGTTACAACAATGAGATGGCAGAAGGCTTGAAACGCATTAACTTTCTAGGTGTGTCTTCACTTGGTCATAGACTCCCATGCCTCCTCCCCTCCATCACCCCTCAAAATCAGCAGAGACAAAGCAGTCAGTACATTAATACAATCATATTTATTACAGATTCCAGACTCCCATATGACACATACCTAAAGCAGAACACTGCAAACTGACGTTACTAGCAGCAATCCTCCCTAAACATGAAGAATTTAGGTGAACTTCACAATTAGGAGTAATTTCAAGACAAGATTATAAGTTATGGTTTTTCTTTTAGCAGCTGGTATATGAATACTGAAATTAGAAATACAGAGAGTCGTCCAGGTTAGCCTTGTCTAAAAAAACATTAATAAGTCACGGTGCAGAGGGGTATCCCCAGGGTTGCCAAACAGAAGGCTAATGTCTTTAGATGTCAGTAGGAAATAAGCAAATCACTTTTTAAGACACGGCTCACTACCTGTGTTACTGTCAGGACAACAGAAAAAGACGTGGACAGCTGCCCTAGAATCTAGCTCACACATAATTCAGCCAGATAATCATTTCAATACTATCCCCTAAAACTGTTTAGACATTTTCCCCCCACAGCTCTAAAAACATAACATCAGACATTTGCTCCAAAGGACTAAAAATCAAAAGCAATTGTGATGTATTGGGAGTAGCTTTTATGGCTTTCCTGAGGGACAGTTGCCATCTTTTCAGAGAGTGTTTTTAAAGCAGCACTAAGTCTGGGAGCTTATCAAACTACTTTTCATTCTAAATAAATAAAAGACCAACTGAATGTCTCAGGTGTACTTATTTCTTTTCCCGCAGATCTCTGAACCATCCAAAGCCATTCCTTGACAGATAGCTTTCATTTTTATTAGAGGAGTGTAAGAAAACTTACAAACACTTGAAAAATACTCAAAACACTCAGAGTAAAAGAGGTGCAACCCTTCCTCAGAGCCCAGGAACCAGTGACAGGAACCCCAAAGGCTTATCTAAAATCCATCAACTCAATTTGCCAGAAAGTAGACCACCCACCTTTGCAATATAGGCCCAGATAAGATTTTCTTGCTTTATAATCACTAAGAAAAGCATCTGGGAGTTACTGCCCAGGAAGACATAGGCTGATGAACAGAAGCTACTGAAAAGGGGTTGATTGTAGTCTATATCTGGCACAGGAAAAGAAAAATTAAAACAGTTGCTAAACCATTATATTTATACCATGATACTCCTAGGTGAACCTTGGCCTTCCTGTAGCAACCATTTCATTCATAAAAAATACATACAAATGGGAAAGCTTTGGGGCAGCACCAGTGACAGCTGTCTTTGAAGAATTTTAATTTTTCCTAAAGGCAAAAATTAAGAGAAAATTTACAGAATCAATTCTATTTCATGATTTTGCCCATGTCAGTGGCTATGGGGATAGTGCAAATAGAAATACAAAACCCCTCAGCATCAAGTTAGGGTTCTATTTTTCTCTCAAGGGGTAAGTGGTATACCTAGACTTCTGTACACAGCTTCTGAGGATTAAAGACAGCTCATAGTTCATGCCTTGACAATCTCTAAAGGTACTCCTGGATAATTTTACCACAAGGAGAGATGAAGCCCCTCCTGACCCACTAACAACTCAGTGCAAGGATGCTCATGCAACTAGACTTTAATGCGAATGGTTTCTAGGCTTTCTGACTTGATATGCACCATGCACAGAAAGCAAGGAACCGACTGGTCTAAAGCCATCTGCCTTAGACACTGCTAACGCTGGCTAACCATCTCACAAATGGCCCACCATCATAAGATGGTCTCTGAACGGAGCATAAATGCTTCCCAAGTACTAGAACAAACAACGTAAAGCAGAAGTTCTCCTGGTGGTAGAGGCATAGAATCACCTCTGTGTACAAAGAATGGCACATGGAATCATTCTGGGTGTGAAACCACATCTCCCGTTGCTCAGTGCTCCTGAGAAGACCTCGAGAAGGGCACAGGTACACCCCATGAACTGTCTTGGAAACAGATTCCCATGTCTAGAGATTACGTGAAGAACCCAAATTGGATGTTCAAAACTAAGTCCTATTCCTACCAAATGTCCTAAGCCCAAATCCCTGGAGAATACCAGAAACCAGTTTTGTTGCATTTCAGCTGTGTAGGGCCCCCCTCAAGTGAGCTCGTGGGGGCCTCCAGAACTCTACCATTCTGGCTGTTACTTTCTCTTTTTCTTTCCTTCTCCTGAAGAGAGGAAGAAGAGTCCGAGGAAGACTTCAGTTATTTTCATAGCAACTTATTATAATGTTCTAGGTGATGACATTTTGAGCAGCACACAGGTTATTAGAACCAATTTTTTCTTCCTTTTGAAAAATTTCTACAATAATAAAGAAAAGGCAATAATTTTAAAAATTGACTTCCCTAAAAAAGAATTGTCATACTTTGTACAAAATAGCACATTTACTAAATAGTATTCATCCTAGAATCACTGTCCAAACCAAACCAACAAATGGGGGCATATGGGCACATCAGAATGATCACATGAGTTTAAAATAATTTTCAGAGCCAGAATTATTAGATTGGACAGAAAAGTAGCAAACCAATCATTATCTGGACATATGAAAATTATATACAAACATGAAAATGCAGCATGTGTTTAAAATAAATCACGTTAGATTTAGTCAGGCACTAAAATGAATGGAAACCGGTATGTTCCTTTTGATACCAAACTTTTACTTTATTGGGAAAACCTGGTATCTATTGCAGCTTCTAGCTGAGGGACAGAAGGGCAACAGAGGAGGACATCTAACAGGAAAGACTGGTAAAGAGGTAGAGGCAGGGGTGCCTGATGATTAAACAAGGTAACTATTAACTGAGGAACTGAGATTTTAGACATACTATTTAGAAGAGGATTTAGATGAGCAGATTCCAAAGATAATTGCTTGACTTTGTAACATGGAACCTCTCTAAATGTTTATTCTATCTGATATGGCTCTAAAGAGGAATATTTACAATGCATTTTAAAATAAAAACAAGTAAACGAAACAAAACATCTTCCACAATTCCCCTTTGGGGATGTGTCATTTTTAGATGTGCATTGTCCCTTTGGTACTACCATACAAACCCCTTGAAAAGTTCAGGGGAAAGGGGAATTCTTTCTGATGATGAACAGAAAAGGGTTGGGCCTGGGATGTGAGGGAAGCAGCAAAGAAACATTACTCTTCTTTTATTGAGGATAGTCTTCTAAGAACTTCCACTGTCCTTTAGGAGAAAGGAATGGATTATGGAAAACAGTTCCTGAAGATATCACTGCCTTCTGAGGACAAGTTCATAATTATGATACCTACGGAGATGACGTTCACATGTAGCACCTACCTTGCTCATAAGACATAGAACTCTTACCAAGCTATGAAATATAGTTAGTAAAAGTTACTCATGGCACTTAAATATGTTTAGAGACATAAATTCTTTGTCTCAGTGCCTCTGTGAGGTAGGTGTCTGATGGGAAAACCTGAGGCACGGAGGGGTTAAGTCTGCTCTCCTTTCATTGCATGACAAGCCAGTGGCCCAGCTAGCAGAAGGACCAGGTGTCCTAACTCCCTCAACATTATTCACCCTGCTTCTCAGAAGGCTTACCTAAGTTACAGAAAAATTACAGCAGGGGAATTTTTTTTTTCAAACATTTTAACTAGTTAGCTATTTCCTTCTTCTTTTTTTTTTTTTTTAAGATTTTATTTATTTGACAGAGACACAACGAGAGAGGGAACACAAGCACAGGGAGTAGGAGAGGGAGAAGCAGGCTTCCTGCTGAGCAGGGAGCCCGATGTGGGGCTCGATCTCAGGAACCTGGGATCATGACCCAGGCCGAAGGCAGACGCTCAACAACTAAGCCACTCAGGCGCCCTAGTTAGCTATTTCTTATTCCCACTTTGAACATAAGTTATTCTAAAATAAAACCAAATAGAAACAAAACAAAAAATCAATATTGCCTAACAGTCTGTGTCTAGATGTAGCCTATTCTGTACTAGTGATTGAAAAAGCATATAGTATGATTCAAGTAGAAGTATCAGAGGGTGCTACAGTATTCTCATTACTCAAGCCAGGCTGTGAGTAAAGTGTCCCTTAGAGATGCCACCCACTGTACTTTGTAAGAACCTCTTCGGCATGACACCAGGGAATAAAACTACCATTCCTGTTTCATGGAAATACCATTCTGAAAGTTAGTCTACACAGGCCAGCCCTAACCGGAAAGGGAACTCTCAACCATGTGATGCATATGTACTACTGAGTTCATGCAGAACTCTTTGAAGCCAGACATGAAGGTCATAGTCACCTGCCATAAAGCTCACGGAACAGTTCACACTACATATACAGAAGGGCGATACACTGGGTACATGCACTAGCACCATGCCACAGAAGTGAGAGAAGGACAAGAAGCCACCTCGTGAGCATCTTCTAGTCCCATCTGGCTTGCCATTCTCAGAAGCTACCTCTACTAAGTGGGGAAGACTGAAGTCCTGTATCCCTTTAAATAATGAGAGGGGTAAAAAGAGAATATTCGTTGTTGGTTGCTTTGAGCATACCAGCTATCCAAATTTTACTCTTTCATAAGGTGGTAGCTTTCTTAGTTTTATAGATTTTCAAAGGTAATAAATTACATTTCTTGATCAAAAGAGAATGGTGTAGAGCAAAATTCCAAGGTCAGTTACAAGTTGGGGGTATAAGACTACAGAGAAATTTATATTGCTACTCTTAGAATCAAATTCATGAGTACTTAGGGCACTAGCTTTTAGAAATGAAATCATTTTTTGAGGTGTTTTTTCCCTCCCATCCTATCTGTGGGATGAATTTAATTCATACCATGACCCCTAATTCAAATGAAGATTTGATATTTGGTTTGAGTGTCTAAACTTGACCATGACACCAAATAAGATGCATGTTGTTTCCTCTGTACAGCTTCTGACTTGATATTAATGCAAATACCCACCCTCCTAAGGCCTGCGTCCCCTTGAGGGAGCTCATCTTCCAGAGGGCTGGAGCTTGGCTCTATGCTCTGCACATGCAGGACCAGAGGGAATCATTCCAACTCAGAGTTTCACTGGGATACTAGTATACAGCATAGCAGCAATTCATGCATTTTATTTCTAAAAACCAAAGCTCCAGTGAGGCCGAGCTGGTCACTGTGCAAGATGAACCAGGAGGACATTCTCGCCTCTAATGAAAATCTGATTTATGTGTCGAGTGAATACCTGCTGGTAATCCACTTTGGGCTTTCGCTTTTTCTTACGGGGCTGGCCCCTGGAAAGGGTGGTAGCCCTGGAAAAGGTACCTCCCGCACTTGACCCTTCTGTCCGTGTAGTCCTCCCTGACATCTCTGACCTGGACTCCTCCCTTGCAGACGCCTGCAGGGAAGAAGGGACGGAGCGGGAGCGCCTGCGTGAGCCCCGGTCAGTATCTTCTCTTCCCCACACTGAAGCCACCTTCCAAGTAGATGTCTGGGAATATCTGGACAGAGTGGAGTCTTCAACTGCAGACTTAGAATCTGCTTCCTTTCTGGAGGAATCTTGAAGTTTTAGGCGATCAAACAGCTATAAGGAAAGCAATCATAAATATCAGCCTTCTCTTTAGCCTTCAACATTCCTCTTTTAATACAGAAAAAAACACCAGATTGCTTAATTAGGTTTTATAGACTCCTTGCTGTGCAATTTTTAAAAAGTTAGTAATGAATCATCTGTGTGTAGCCATAATACAGATAAATCAATAATGCCAAGAGAAAAGGCACCTGCTTTTTTCTGTGGTATAAAATGGAAAGACTTTTAAGGTTATAAGAGGTAACGTGTTGCTCAAATACTATGCAGGTCAAAAGCACAGACTCATTTGTGATAAGCTGAATGCATGAGAAGCGAGACTAATGAAGATCTTGGTCCAGGCATACATAGTGGACAGCAAATGAGCTCTCCCACTAGGAAAACCTGTTCACCAGGCTCAGTGATCTCCATTTCTAAGCTTGGAAAGCACACTGGGTACTCAGGAAGTCAGGGGAAACAGCCTACCCTAGTGAGAGTCAATGACGAATCCCGCTCATACGCTTTGCCTAGAACAGGTTTTCGGTAGGTCTCATCCACATCGGTAAGTGCCTAGAGAAACAGCCCAAAGGAGAAAAAAATTTGGCAGAATTAAAAATATTATTTTTACAGCTTCCAGGAAAAAATTTAAAAAGCAGAATAAACATCTCATTTAGCAGAACGAAACTTAACAAGTGACTCCACTCTTGGGCAGAAAAAAATGCTAATACCTGGCACCCTGAGTAAGATTTCCAAGCTGCTACCACCATATAATATGGGTTTTGTCTATGGTAAGGGGCCTTACAAATGCATGGTAGAGGTTCTTAAATTTCATTGTGCGTAAGTATCTCGGAAGCTTATTAAAATATAAACCCAAAGCTACTTCCTAGATATGCTGACTCAGTAGGTCTGGGATAAAGCCCAGGAATTTTCTGTTTTAACCAGAAACTCCATGATTGTGATGTAGGATGCCCCTAGGCTGCACTTTGAGGAAACACTATTCTACTGCTTCTTTTCATTCCTCATTTTCTAGGTCTTATGACAGCAATGAACTGGTATTAACAACCAGGGTTATATACAGAATTGTTGAATTTTTGTCTCTGAGAGATAAACCTCATAGGATAGCTATTTAGGATCAAATGAGATCATGTATGAGAAATAAATTTGAAAAGTATAACTCACCCTACAAATATAAACTGACAGGATCATTATTATGACCATCATATCAAAGATGTTCTCTTAAATACTACTCCTTCAAAGGTAAAATTCTAACAGTAAAGTACTTTTCCCTACATTTTAGATATAAGAAAAGTGGGCCTCAGAGAAATTATCTTGCCTAGAGTAACACAACTACCAAGTGGTAAAGCTAGGATTCAAATCCAGGGCTTCTGATTTCACAGTGGCTGAAAACACGATTTTAGGAGTCAGAAAGACCTGGAATAAAGTTCTAGGACCTCCACTTACTAACAGGGTAATTTGGGTCAATCATTCAGTATCTCTAACCTCAATTTCTTCATTGGTAAAATGGAACAGTAGTAAACCTCATTCATTGAGATAAACCCTTAGTACCCTATCCAGCAAATGCTAAGTGCTTAATAAATGGCAGCAACTACTATACTCATCTAGGAGAATGCATGGATGAAGATAAAACGCAGGAAAAAGAAAAGTTGGAGATGGAAGACCATATGAAAAAGAAACACCAGAAAGCCTGGTGTTCCTATTTTAACTGCCTCATATTGTAGTTGTGCTATAATGTCTGTTCACGCCTACAAATGTCTAGTAAGCAGGCAGTAAGCCTCTAGGAGAGTGGGGGCGCATTTCCTTCATAAGGAAACACCACGTAAAGTACCTTACTTATTAGTATGCCTGCTTCCCCTCTATCTTCATCTATCTTCCCAAAACTGTAGCGTGAAAGTTCCTTTCTGAAATTTCTGTACCTAGTACTGGTAAAGTACCAGCCAAAGTGGAAAATCAGTAAATATTTTGAAATGAATGAAAGAATGGTCAGTAGGAAATTGATATAAAATTACTAAACTGCTGAAATAAATAATTATTCCTTATGGCTGGGTTTCTTAACCATAGCACTAATGACATTTTGGACCAGATACCTCTTTGTTGTTGGGGGACTATCTTGTGTATTGTAGGATGTGCAGCAATTCCTCTGGCCTCTACCCATTAGATACCAATAATACCCCATGCCACAGTTGTGACAATTAAAAAAATGTCCCCAGACATTGCCAATTGTCCCTAGGAAGGAGAGAAGGGCAAAACTACCCTGGTTGAAAGCCAATGCTTTAAAGAAAAGGAAGCAATAGAAAGTACTCTTTTGTTGTCGGCCAGGAGAATGCAAAAATTCTAGTTCTTCTGGGAAGTTATTCTCTAGGTTTTCCTAAATAAGGTTACTCAGGTCATTTAGACATAGAAAAGATTTAATCCCTAGGAGGTTCTCCAACCCCTTGAGAAGGGCTTAATTACCATATTCCAGAACTTGTCAAATGCGACGAGAAAGCCTGTACAGACGCCCCGAAGACCCTTGAAAGTGCGGATGTGAACATTCACCTTCACTCCCTCCCGGATACAACGATGGAGCTCACCCAGAGGGCTGCCTTCATGCACTGAAACAAGACAAAAACAGTAAGCATAGCCTGAACATCTGCTCTCATTCCCAGAATTAACAACCAAGACCACCCAACCATCTCCAGCAACATTAGGCAACATGGTGCAGTGGCAACCTCACTATGGAAACAGGAAGGCCCAGTGGACAACATAACTAGTACAGGCAACATACACTGAAATAAGGCAAGATTCCACCAGAATGGAGATAAAGGGTACATTTGGCTATCACCCAAATGTTTCACTACTCGTATATCCTGCGTTCTATGATGTCATTGATTCTAAGATGCACCATTATTTAAAAATGTTTTTCTGGGAAAAACCCCACATTAAATGTACACATCAGCAGCAAAATTCTTCTCAGTTCTGTATCTGGGTAAGATAACTTTTTTTTTTTAAGATTATTTATTTATTTGTCAGAGAGAGAGAGAGAGACCGTGCAAGCAAAAGCCAGGGAAGCGGCAGGCAGAGGGAGAAGCAGACTCCCTGCTGAGCAAGAAGCCCGACGTGGGACTCGATCCCAGGACTCCGGGATCATGACCTGGGCCGAAGGCAGAAGCTTAACCGACTGAGCCACCCAGTTGGTTAAAACTTGTCCCAAGACAAGTTTTTTAAGGATAATTCTCATGAACCACATACCCAACTTGACTCTTTACCAAAAAAACCCAAAACCAAACAACTTTTCATATGTTTAAAGGAAACAAACAATGTAACACACCTGCCCTTAAATATGTGCAGTCCCTCTAAGAGAGAATGAACTTTTGGCCGCCCATCTGAAGACCCTCCATGCCCAAGCTCTCTGGAGCCACTGGATTCCAATGCACATCATCTTTAAAGTAGAAGGAAGAGACCTGGTTGCATTCCAAGCCTGGCTGATACAAAGGCACCTGCTAGGCATTAGGCTCCTATGAGATTGCTGATAAGCATCACATAAAAAGAGTAGGACAATCCATGGGAAGAATGCTGGGACTATAAACTGCAGCCTTTACTATGATGGATCTTTTTTTCAGAGCTTGGGAAGAGGGATGAATTTTATTTTTATTACTCCACGTAAACTTAGCCTTCACGATATGATGGCTATACCATATAAAACCTTCCAAAAGAAAACACACGTGCACACACACACACACTCTTACACTCACACTCACACATACACAGTCTCAGTCTTTCCCTCCCAAGTTTGCAAGGCGAAAGTCTCTGGAGATTGATCATTGCCATCAATAGTAAACACAAAAAAGATTTCTGTTTTCTTTTTGGTGGCATGAAAGACAACAACAGTCCTGCACTCCAGTCTGAATGACTGAGCAGGTTACTCTGGACCTCCTTATCCCTCACTCATAGGTCAGCTCATAAATGATGGCACTGATAAATTAAGAAAAGAAAATCCTCTTTGAAGAAAGTAACTTAGCAGATGAGAAGTAGGAGTTTATTTCAGATTGAAAATTTAGCAAGAAGGCACAGTTGAAGGCGGTGTGGCAGAAACAGAGGCCTTGGAAAGGAACACAGCACCTTGGTCTGATCTTCATCATCTACCCTTGCTCTAGCAATAGCGTATTTTGAAATTCTTTGAATGTTTGAGTAACTTTTTCTCCACAAGTCTGAGTTTCCTTATTCATAAAATGAGGTTAGACTAGTTATCTTCTAGATTCATTTCAGGAATAAGTCTCTATAATTCAATTTCTTAGAAACTGGTCATACTGCCTGAATCAGTTTCTTTGCCTATACAAATTCCCTGCTTCCCCTCACCCCTGCATGTGTTTCCACCAACAGTGGAAAGACCATTCTTTTCTTAAACACCATTCTTTTTCTAACTTGTAAATGAATAGAGGTACTACGTCCCCCCCTCCCTGAGCCCCCAAACCAGAGAGAAACCACACACACACACCGTAACAACCGTTTCCTTATTCTGGTTAAACAAATGATAAACTCGGGTCTTTCAACTCTCATATCTGTACTTTTCTCTTTTTTTTTTTTCCTTCCAAAGATTTAATAAGGTGTAATTCCAGGAATCACCTCACTCCTTGTGTGATCAAAAATATAACACTAGCACCACCTATCACAGCAAACTGCCAAGGCAAAAATGAACTCCACATTCTGAATCAGAATGCACATTCTGATCTCTTTCCAGCAGTCTGTATAACAAACTCCAAATGGATATATAAGCCAGTCTTCTAAAATTTAATACAACAATAAAACATATGCCTTATCTTTGAAGATTGTTATTCTTCCAGATCTCCTTCTCCATTGCCACTATTCTTAGGCCCCAACCTTCCAAAGCCACGTCATTCTTAACTCCATTCTTCTCCCTACTTGTGGCCACACTAAGCTCAAACAACAGATTCTCAATAACTAAGACATACCCTTTCCTTTCTCCTTCTCCAATCAATAATATAGTCCAGAGCCTTATCAGATGATTGGCTTATTATCTGTCTAGTCTAGTCTCCCAGTTCCCCTCACATCATCCCTGACACCATCATTATCGCCAATTACTGAGCATTCAGTATGAGCCAGACCTTGGGGTAAGTTTAACTTTATGCATGTTATTTTATTTAATCCTCACAACTTTAACATATAGGTACTATTATTTTGCCCCACTTTATATATGAAGAAAATAAGGCTCAGAAATGTTTATTTAAACAATTTCTCAAGGTTATTTACCTAGTAAACAGCTGAGCCAACACCCAATACAGGCAGCGTATATATACATCCTGACCTGAAGTTTTTAATTATGACAGTCTAAAACAATAACCACAACAATAATCTACAACAATCGCAGTGACATTTAACATTCATTGAGAATTTCCCTACATGTAAGAGCTATGAATGGGTTATCCAACTTAAACCTAACAACTATAGGTAGATACTATTACTGTCCTCACTTTACAGATGAGGAAACGGAGGACCCAAAGAGTTTAAGTGACTTGCCTACTGTAAAACAGATAGAAAGTGCAGGAGCCAGTGTCCAAAACTAAAAAAGCCAGCAGTCAAACCCTTGAGTCTGTGGTCTACACTTCCCCAAATACACTTTACCACTAGAAAGTAAGTTATTAGAAAGGTTGCCCTAAAAGTTTTCTCACTTAAGAATATATACGATGGTTCCCACTATCTATCAACAAAGTCAAAGAGAAACTCTTTGGTCTTCAAAGTGTTTTTAACAAATCCTTCTCTGGACCCAAATTCAGTTCTCATTGCTCTAGACACACACCTTTCTGCCTCACTTATGTGGCACCCTCCACCCACCAAAAGAAGCAAGCAAAGAAAAATGAGAATTTAGAATGTACTCCCCTCTTCCCTTTCCTGAGATTAGCATAATTGCCCTGGCACACAGGCCCTGGAGTTGGACAACCCAGCATTAAGTCTCAGATGCAAACTAACTAGCTATGTGATCCTGGGCAAGTAGCTAAGCTCAGCGGACCTCATTTATAAAGTAGTATCTAAAGGTAAAATAAGATAAAATGCATCTAAAGGGCTTGGCAAGTGCACAGCACTTACCAGCTAAATAACAGTAGCCACAATTAGCAACAATAAAATTGTCTCTTGACTTAAAAAGGGGCATGAGAGAACTTTCTGGGGTGATGATTTGTTCTGTATCTTAATTGTGGTGGTAATTTCACAACTATACATTTGTCGAAACTCATTTTAAAGGGGTGAATTTTGTTATGTGTAAATTATACCTCAATAGCCTATTAAATAATTATTGTTATCCTCAACCATGCACTTCCTTAAATTAACTTTGAGACCTGAAGCCAATCTCTTCTAGGAACTCTTTCTGAATAAATTTAATCTTCACCCTTGCTTCTGTACTTTTCTTGCTTTCTTCCTTTTTGTTTTTTAAAGATTCATTTATTTAGGGTGCCTGGGTGGCTCAGATGGTTAAGCGTCTGCCTTCGGCTCAGGTCATGATCCCAGGGTCCTGGGATCGAGTCCCACATCGGGCTCCCTGCTCCTTGGGAGCCTGCTTCTCCCTCTGCCTCTCTCTCTCTCTCTCTGTCTCTCATGAATAAATGAATAAAAAAATCTTTAAAAAAAAAGATTCATTTATTTATTTTAGAGAGACAGAGAGTGTGCGTGAGCAGGGGGAAGGGCAGAGGGAGAGAGAGGGAGAGAAGCAGATTCCCTGCTGAGTGGGGAGCCCAAGGCAGGGCAGGGCTCAGGCTGAATCTCACAACCCTGAGATCATGACCTGAGCCTAAATCAAGAGTTGGGACGCTCAGCTGAGACATCCAGATACCCCTGTACTCTTCTTGCTTTCTGAAGCTCATCAGTTCTCTGTGATGTCTACCCATCTCTATCATGTACACTCAACTGTTTCTAGTGATGTGATTAAAATTTTCAGTGCCTATGGCACATCCTGAGATCTTGATTCCAGGCATATATTTAATCACTGGAAATCAACAAAGCTGGTTTTCATGCTCTGTCATACCAATATAGCAGAGTGCTCCATAGGTAAAGCTAAAACCACTCCCACATAGAAATATGTCTTTCCCTTGACAATCTCTGTAGCAAAGCAACAACTGGCAAAATGGAAATAAATGTTACAATCTGACACTTGGAGTGCATTTCCAAGATCTGATAGTGGCAATAAGGTCCCCCAAACTGCTCTTATTTTAGGAACATGCATACTTTATCTTTGTGTTACTGTTGTGCAAGCAAGCTGGGATGCACCCTAGCTTTGGCAAGAAGGCTCTGGCATTGTGTGTCACAGTAAATGATCTGACAAAGATACATCTAACAGCACACAGCTTTTCAGGATGTTTCTCTCTTAATAAACACGTCTAGGAATGAAACAAAATATTCCCTTGCTTCCTACAACCCTCTCTTCTAAAAACAGTGATTTAATAATGTTACAATTTAGCTATCAGGATACAGATGCTTTGAATGGCTAACTAGGTCATTGTGTTCACTGGCAAATGTCAGAAATGCTTGCCAGATGACAAAAGACATAACCCTGGGCTGTTTTTATTCCATTTGTTTAAAACCTAACTCACACATTAGCAACCTTCCCTGTTTACAGCTTTACTCTAAGGATCTATTAGGAAGCTCCAAGAGATTTCCTTGTGTCATTTACACCTTCAGAACTTAAAATAACGTGTGCATATGGTAATGTGAGCCCGACAGACACACTCCTGCACCCATCCTGGCAGAGTGGCTGTGAAACAGTGTCTGGGTTTTAGTGGCATTTGTCCCTGCTGCATTCCAGCACTTGTGACTTGGTAATGCAAACATAATGTGTATCAAGACCCAGTAGCCCTTCTCCTATAAGCACCCTGGAAGGAGCTGTCACTTAATGTGCAGGGGTTATGCGATTACGTTCCCTGTTCTAACTGAACAGATAGATCTCCCCACACTCCGTCCCATCATCCCCAATCCCACTAACCAAACACTCTCCTTTCCTTAATATTGGCTGCGCCCCTCCCCTCTGGCTGTGGTCCCTAAGACCTCTCATCACCTCCGCAGATCCTCCCTGTGATGTCCCGTTTCCGGGCCCCACCACCTCTCCAGATCCCCATCACACCCGCAGACCCTCGTTGCAGACCCTCGTTGCAGGCCCCTCGTTGCAGGCCCCTCGTTGCAGGCCCCTCGTTGCAGGCTCCTCATCACCTCTGTAGCCACTTCCACGGACCCAGTTACCTCCGCGGACCTACACCCGTTATCCACGCAGACCCCTCCCGTGGCTCCTTATTACCTCTACAGCCTTAGCACTCTCCACCCCCACCTCCCCGCTCAAGCAGACCTTTGATTACTCCAGAAGACCCTCCCCACGCCCCCATTATCCACAGGACTCAAGCAGAACCTCCTCACGGTGGCGGATTAGCTCCGCAACCTTCACCAAGACCCTCCCCCTAACGCGTGCGAACCTGCGCCAAGCCCCTAGCACCCTGCAAACACCCCGTGGGCCACCACCTTCCGGGCAGCCGGCTGGGCCCTCGTCCCCCCCACCGCCCCGCCCCGTCCTCCCCCGCCGGACTCACAGGGCATTCGCGTGAGCACGTTGCGCGGCGCCTTCCTGCTCCGACCCGGACCCCGCCGGCGCGTCCCGGCGGCCCCGTCCCCTTCCTCCTTGGCCACCATGAGGCGACGGAGGCGCTGGATTCGCTCAGGGTCTGGAGCGGGGGCGTCCTGGCGGCGACGGGTTCTGGCTGAAAGCCCGGCGGCGGGGACCCTTGAGCCCGCGGCCGCGCCCCGCGCCCGCCCGCGCCCGCCGCCCCGAACCCCAGTCCTGAGGAAGCTCTCGTACTCGGCCAGGTTGTTGAAGCAGGGTGCGTTGGGGTAGGGGATGGGCGGCAGGCGGGGCGCGTACAGGGCCAGCAGAGGGTCGAAGCTGTCAGAGCTGACATCCAGCCGCGGGCTGGGCGGGCGCGCGGGGCTCCCGGCGAGAGCCGACCTCGCCCCCCGCTCCCGCTCCTCCATGTTTGAAAGGCCCGCAAGCCGAGGCCGATGGGAAGAAGGAGCGGAGCCGCCAGAGGGCGGCACTGCGCAGCCGCAGCCTGGGGTTGCACTGCGCCGGCGCGACCGCCGGAGGGCAGCATCTGTCCGCGCTCAGCCTCGCCGGCCCGCCACAGCGCTCGGATAACAGATTATAATGTTTGAATGCCGTGTTTCCCCATGTATATCATTATCACTTAGGGTGTTTGGTAATACTCCAGATTCCCCGGGGGTGGATCTTGGAATTGGCATTTTAACAAGCCTCCCTAGGCGCTTCTCTTTTCTCAAACTGCAGTACGCTCCTAGCTAGAGCTGATGGGAAGAGGCTGGAAGAGGGCAGTCCCAATCTGCTTTCATGCGAGTCTCACTGGGGGTTAGTCTACCTGGGCTCAAATTATTTCGCTTCTTTGGGTCGTTACATTATCACCTGAAATATGATAGAAATACTACCTAACCTACAGAATTCTCCTAAGAATGAAGAGATATTGCATAGAGAGCATATAAATGCTCTATGTTAGCTAGTTACTATTGGTTAAGTAGACAAACTATGTTAGCTAGTATTGGTTAAGTAGACAATGAAGGATGGTTGGATCCCAGTCCTCCATTTCCGACACCCTATGCAAAAAGTAATTTGCATTAACACCACAGCGACCTTAGTATTAAAGAAAATTCATTGTATCACTGATTTTCCGAGCACTGCTTAGGCAAGTGGAGGAAACTAGGAAAACAGCTCTTGGAAGCCAGGATGATGAAGATTTACAAGACCTGGGTTGTACCACTTGTTATTTTTTAGCATGAACATAGCATCTTAAGCAAAACATTTTTGCTTTTTGATATTAAAATGAAAGTCTATACAGAAGGCCAGATATTACCCCCTAATCCAGCACAGCCAAGATGTTTCCAGTTACCTACAAGTCATACAAATCACCTTCCTTGCCACCACTCTCCCGAACTATCAACTGGTGTTAATTCTATACTAGCTCTTTCTTGTTTTAACATTTCTTTAAGCTTTGGAAAGCCCAAGAGAATGCTATTCTCTACCTTAGAAAGCAAGATGAAAATTAATACACAACTGTGAAACACTGGAAACACATGCTGCAACAAAGAAAAGCCATCAAAAGGGGTTCCTAAGAGCACTACGGGTTTAATTATGATAGGACTATTAAACATCTATTGCTTTGCTCAAAACTTCTGCCCAAACAATAAACAAAGCTGCAAACTGCTGCTAGTTCAACGATTTAAGTGTTCGTCCCCCCTATCTTATGACAAAATTGAGCCTTGGTAGTATTACAGCACCCACAGGAAGCACATTTCTTTGGGTGGTTTTGTCCTGAAAGTCTGTACTTTAATGCCTATGTTTAAATTTATCTATATAATTGATACCTATATAGATATAATTTATATAAATTTTGACATATCCATTTACTTACCATTATGTTACACTGGCCAGTCAGGAGCTACATTACCTTATTGCCTCATGTGGCCTATCACAGTATACCGAGGGCCATGTTGCCCAAAGTGCCATGTATCATCCACCATAGGCATCAGAAGCCTTTTTGGTTAAAAATCCGATTAGCAAACCTCAGATCTTCATAGGGGGAGAGGTGGAGGCTGGAATAGCACTTAAAACAAGCATTCCAAGTAAATTTTTGTATGCAGAAGTCTGTGAATCACTGCTGTGATGAAGGTACATTTATCCTGGCTTATGTAAAGACACATATATACAAAAGTTGGATTCATATACTGTATTTGTATGAGAAAAATAAGTGAAAAACTACGCAAAGGGTGTTGAAACCTTTTTTTTTCCAGAGATTTTATCAATTACCAAACAAGTACCAAATTCTCTCTTCCTGTGTAGTAAGAACAAGAAGGGAAAAAAATGATTGACAGATGAGGTATCAATTAGTGAAGGAGGAGACCAGCCGTTGCCTTCAAAAATACATTTTCTTTGTGGCTGTAAATTCTGTAATGCAAGACCAGGCACTAAAGTGTAGGCTGCCGCTTAATTAGTTCTTTTTTTTAAAGATTTTATTTGTCAGAGAGAGAGCACAAGCAGGGAGAGCAGGAGGCAGAGAGGAAGAAGCAGACTCCCCGCTGAGCAGGGAGCCTGACTCGGGACTCGATCCCAGGACCTTGAGATCATGACCTGAGCTGAAGGCAGATGCTTAACTGACTGAGCCATCCATGCGCCCCTTAAATAATTCTTAATAGAGCCAAATAATCTTCCTCTGAAATATGAAACGAGGACAACAGGCAATGTGAGTTCTCTCACCACCTATCCTCACTTCAGAGGGGGGACCCCTGGCTTCAGAGGCCAGCAACTTGGCAATGTGCCATTACTGCTGCCATTCTCTGCTGCTCCTCCCCCATCTACACTGGCCCATAAGCAGGTGGAACTATTAGGTGTCCAGGATATCTGCCAGTTGTGACCCCAAGGGGAGTGTTGACCACTCTGCTAATTCAAATGTCAGTGTTCTGATTACATAGAGGCTACCTGAGAATCCTTTTCAGGAAGTCCAGCAGGAAGGTAACTTTTAAAACAAGTATTTAGAGGACACGGAATCAATGTTTTTTCCTCATTGTTCATTCATTCTCACACTTTCTTTTTCTCATATACACATAATTCTCTTTCTTTTTAGAAAGAGGTAAGTGGCCTTGAAAGTACCCTTGGTGAGACAATGATCATGCTGACAACTCCACAAAATCAATCTATGGAATGTTGACACAAGGACTTCCAAACTACAAATTTGTTCAGCCAAAGTTGCCAACTTGGAAACTGGCACAAAACCCGGATTCTCCCTGGAATTCCTGAATTCAGAGGCATCGTGCAGCCACCAACCTATTATTTATCTCCAGGTCAAAGTACACGGGTAGGAAAGGTGAGATTTTCAAGGTTAGTGGATTTTGTAATTAAGAACAGGTGGTTGAGAGTAAAGTTTGGATTCATGTTCTATCATAGGTGGAAAAAGCTTGACAAGTTTTTATAAGACTTATGCCACAATCTAAAAATGATTCATTCTGCAAGGCATAAAATAATTCTTGCTTTATAAAAATAGCACCACGATTAAAAAAAAAAAAATGCACTTCTACAGAAGGAACCATGTTCCAACATTGTAAAAAAAAAAGTTCTACTTAAAGCAGAACAAGATCACCACCCCAACCATCCCTTCTTTCCCTGTTCCCTTTCGAACCAGTCATGTGTCACTACTGGCACACTGCTCTTGGTAGTAGGGATCCCAGGGCACCGAAGGCCAGGAGACTTAGGGGGTTTTGCATGGTTAAGCATGCCAGGGCTAAAAAGCAAAGGATCAGCTGTCTTCATCTAGGATCTCTGGATGTTCCTTCCAAAAAGCATCCCCGATTATATCGCAATATAAAGGCACCGGCTTTGTCCTGGTCCGGGTCACCGCCATCTTTTTTCCTTCCATTTCTGCTGGCAGTGTAACTTCTTTTGTTGTGACTTCACCCACCTATAGGTAAAAGTTAAAATATTGACACTGTTAACTGGGTTTGGGAGAGAAGAGGGGATATGTGGGAAGTTTAATTTACTTTATTTACTGCTGAGTGATAAATATTTATCAGGTAGATGTACAGGTACACATATCTCAATATCTATGAATTTGTTTACAATTAAAAACTTCTAAAAAGTTATGTTGCTATATTCTGAAAGGAAATCTTAGGAACAAAGGAGTGATTCCATGTTCCTTATTAGCAATAACTTTAGAATTAAAGGTATTTCTGCTCTCTTATCTGCATGAAGAAGTATCCAAGCCTGTGCTAAAGAGCAAATGTGCTTTAAAAATACTAATAAGCTGAAGCTGCCAGTGGGATGACTAATTCTTAAGGCACCATTTAATACCTGAAAACATTCATTAAAAAGAAAAACTACTTTACATGGAAGGAGATAAATTTAGAGAAATCATTATGCTCAGAAGCTCGTACAGAGGGAAAATATTGGTGGAATTAAGAATTTAGGTAAATGTACAGACTTATTACAGAATATTTGTTAAGTATGAATATCCGGGGACTCTCCAGAATATTCTGCAAGTGACAGAATCCTCATATACAACATCTTTTATTGCCTCATATTATAGTTGTCATGGGATGGATGGGCTATTTAATGATATTATCCAGTGTGGAAGAAATGTTCTTTGAATGCAAAAATCCTTCTATCTGCAGTGTACCCCTTTATAGGGTTTTATTTTGGAGCGCTTAGGACACAGAAAAATAAGTGTACTAATTCTAAAATCTGTGATGCCACTTAGACCACAAAGATCACTAGCAAACTGACAAAATTAGCACTGACTGACAAAAGAAGTATCCAAAATAATATATAGCATTTCATTTTTAAAAAGATCTAATTCCTGTTAGTGACTGGAATCACATCTGCATACATGTGGTAGGCCAGACAAAGCTTGGGATGGGCACAGGCTTTGGTCTTTCTGACCTCCATTTTTCTTTGGACAAAACAGCATTACCTTTTGCCATATCAACACAGTTCCTTTCCTATACATCAGAGGCTCATTATTGTAGTTGATGTTGAATTCGGAAAACAAAATCTCATTCTTGTCTGCTGCAAGAGTTCCCTGAGAAAATAGACAAAAGCAGATTTTTATGTCTGCTCTCTGCCCTAATCCTACCTATCCATTCCACCCTCTATCTAAATTTCCACAAACAAATCAAAAAGTGGAAGGGTTTTATCAAACCTCTTATAGATACTAATGAATCTGCATTGTAAGAGCTGTTTAAATCTTATTTAGATGTATAAATTCAAAAAATTGTCTTCTGTAGCAAACAACTGGCTTCAAAAGTCACAACTGTGATAGGGTGACAGGAACTAGCAGTAAAAGCACCTGTTCTGTACTACATACATTATGTTATCTTATTTGACCCTCATTACCATCTCCATTTGAAAGAACAGAACTCTGAAGCTTAGAAAGATTATATTAATTGCCTAAGGCTAAAGATTGCTTTTATTCTTCTAAGAAAAACCAAAATCTAAACTCGGCTCTTCCAAACTCTGGATAAATCTACCAGTATTCCTATTAATGGTATCTGTAAATCCTCATCATCATCGTTAATGACAACCACTTATCATGTAATTACAACGTACCAGGCGCTGAGTTAGGAGCCGTTACAACACATCACCTCATTTCAGAGTTAGTCGTCCTACAAGCAGCGCTGTCATCTAATGATGAAAGCCAGTGTTTATTAAAGTACTTACAATGTGCTTTGTACTATGCTATGTGTTTTACATGCATCATGCCACTGAATTATCACCATAAACCTATAAGGTGGGAACTCTTATTTCCTGTTTCACCTGGGTGGCTCAATTGGTTAAGTGACTCTTGATTTTGGCTCAGATCATGATCTCAGGGTCCTGGGATTGAGCCCCACATCAGGCTCCCTGCTCATCAGGGAGTCTGCTCAAGATTCTGTCTGCCCCTCACCCTGCTTGCTCACACTTTCTTTCTCTCTCTCACAAATAAATAAATCTTAAAAAAAAATAAAGAACTAAGGCAGAGAAGATAAAATTAAACAGAAGTCCCTGAGTACAATTATTGGACTCCCAGAGCCTCTACTCTTACCGATGCACACACCCAGCAGGGAATGGCAATGATGAAGAGTCCAAGTGGGACTGATGAAAAAGAAGAGCACATGCCCCGTCTAAAGAAGGCAACCGATATGCAGCCCTGGCCAAGCACTACAATGTGGGAAGGTAGAGCCAGTATCACTAATTCCATTTTCCAGCTGAGGACACTAAGTCCCAGGGAGAGACAGTAACTTACCCACAGTCACAGAGCAAGCAAGCAGCAGAGCTGCTACTAGTTTTTTTATCCTCTCAAAACAAAGCAGTAAAGAGCTTTAAAAGAATGCAAAATGCCATGGGAGAGTATAGAAAACCACCCCCAGCTAAGTATTAATGCAGTAAGATCTTATACCTGTAATCTCTCTTGGGCTTGTACTGGTGTTAGTCCAGACTGTTGTACAAGTGCCCAGAAAACTGTATTATACAGATTATTGATGTGACCTGTGAGAACAGAGTAGCACTGTTTATACATACATAATCTTTATTCAGTATTTGCACTACAAAGAATATTAGAACTCTACCCCTCTTCTCTAAAGTAGAGAGATCACAGAGACATTTAGTGGTATGCCCAGAACCATACACTGGGAACATGGCGGGGGGGGGGGGGGGGCAGTGGTTAAGTATAAACAAACTTATTTCCTAAAAGTTTTATTCTGTCATTTCAGTTATGCTTTACATAAACTGGTTAACTTGAAAATTACACTTGGGAGTACTTCCAAAGTTATTTGATTTAGATTATTCCTAGCACTTTCCCAGTTCTTCTGGGAAAATCAAGATATACCAAATGAGTAAGTCTCACAAACATGTCGCCATAGTCATGTAAGGCAGGGGTCAAAACTCAAATCACCCACTGAGGCCACCATGAACATAAAAGCATAAAGCAGAGTAGATGACCCCTGGAGAACAAGAGAGAATGGCAGAGACTATGGCACACTGGCTTCTGTGTGTGTGTGAAGACAGGAGTCACCGCCCAGCACAGGTTATGTCCAATACTAAGTCTGAATGATGACCTAGTATTGCCATGTCTTCTGATTTTCCCAAAAAAACTGGAAAAAGGAAGTATTTACATAAATTTCCCAATTGTTCGATTGTTTTCAACTAATTAAAAAAACCTGAAATATTGCATTCTGAACAAAATACACATGCACCAAAACTGAACCAAATCACCACCTCTAATGTATGGAATTGGTGGTTTTAACTACATCTGTTTATTTGGTTTTACTTACAATCTGCTTGCCGCCAACTGAGGTAGTCCTTTAAGGTCTGGTTGCTAGGATACACTATGACTCTTCCGTCAAAGCCTGGGGGATACAGAAGGGGCTGGTCCTCAAAGTAATCTCGCCAATAAAACACATAGCTGGAGGCGAACTGGGAAGCCACGTGAGTCATGAACTTACTTGCAAAGGTAAGGCACATTGGGTGGAGCAAGAAAAGAGAAAATGCATGATATTAATTCAAAACCATGACAGGACCTGCGGGTGCAACAGAGTGATTACACAAACTATTCAGCAAGCCAAGAGATAAAATGTGTTGGGCCAAGAAAAACTAAGCAGCCCGCCCCTCTCCAGTCCTATCAGTAACTTACTAATACCAAATTTTTCTCTGTAGGATGTGATGTGAATTTCTGGTTCAAGAGGTTTTTGGGTTTTTTTAGTCTTGGAAGGAAGGGAACCATTGTTTTAAAAACATACCAATTCATTATATGCTTTGTTTTCTGTGAGAGTTTCAATATACTGCCAAATGAAAAATCTAATTTGTCTATTTTGAGACCCTCAATTAAAAATGTAAGCAATACTTACACATATAGGGTACATATAGCATATATGTATATATGCATATAGCATAGCACATATAGGCTGTCACTGGCTAGAGCCAACCTATGAATCATTAATATTATAATATTCTAATGGTCTCTGTTTCTAGTCTTAATATTAAGTGCCAGATCTATCTAGAAGCTAAGGTGATGAGGAATGTAGGGGAAAGAAACATAAAGAGGCATATGTAATGTTCAAATATCAGATGAAGTACAAGAGTCTAAACAGAAAATAGACATTCTGCAGTTGCAAATACTGCAGACTCTGTCTGCAGTCTGTAAGTCAGAAATTAAAAAGAGCAAAAACCAAAGGCTGGTAGGAAATATTCTGAAGGAGCTAGGCCATGGAATTACCTCGCTCTTCTTTTAAACCAATTGCTTTTCCGCTTGAACACAAAGCTGTACTCATCACTCTGTCCATATGCAATCACAATATCCTCCAGTTCTTTCATTACAGTCTGGGCACATTTGGTCATTAGGTGGAGAGCACGGCTGTCATTAGGTTTTGCAAAGTTGTGTTTCTCAGCAAACCTTCACAGAGGGAAGAGAAGAGGGAAACGGGCATGAATGGAAGAGAGTTTGTCCTTAACACCAGATATCAAAAAGACTGCATACAGATGAATATATGTAAAGTGCTGTGAGTCTACTAGCCACAACCTGACTCATTTCCTTAAGAACTCTAGTTTTTTCCTGCCCTGAGAAAAAGGGGTATAACTGCTAAGTCTCCATTCCCTTTTCTGTGAAATGGAGATAAAAGTATACTTACTTCATAGGGCTGTTCTGAAGATTAGAGAGGTAAAAAATGTAACTACGCCTGGCTCCTTGGAAGTGCTCAATAAATGTTAGTTATAATAACCATTATTAAAATAACACTTTTAAGAATTAAATTCCCGTATTTCTGTTACACTTCTCCCTTTTTTCTGACTCGTTTCCTCCAGAGTCCAGTCGATGCAGCCAGTTACTAATAATGAAACAAAAACATAAAGTATTGCCCACAGCAAGACCTAAAGAGGCCTCTAAACAGTCGGCCCTCAAAGACAGCTAACGAAATAGCCAAGCATTTGGCTAAAGAGATGAAATACTGCACCAGCGAGTGACATTTTCCATCACGGCTTGCTAACAGGTCTCTGCTCACCGGCACGCAGGCCAGCGGCTCACCACGAGCGCACTCTGCCTCAGTTTAACTACTCAAACCAGCTGGCGTTCAGGCACGTAGTAGCCAGCACGTCGGGAGATGCTCAGTGCCGCGCTCTCATTGGCTGCCGCGTTACCCGGTAACCGTGAGCGAGGCGGTAAGCGGTGTCTGAGTCCCCGGAAGCGCGGGCGCAACATGTGGCCGCGAGCCGCAATCACTCACCGATGGAAATTCCTGCCGTCCAGCCGCACCACCACCCAGCAGTGGGCCAGGCAGGTGTCGTCAGCCTCGAAGTTCCGCACGTACTCGAATTTGCTCTTTGCCATGGTAGCCCCCACCTTCAAACACCGTCTCAGAGTGACGGAAGTACCGGCCCAGAAATCGCGAACTTTAACGTTGCAAGAGGACCACATTCGCCCCGCGGAAGGTGAACGACCAACAGAGCCCCTCCCCGGAAGTTCCGGTGTCTCTCAGTGGCCGCTCTAGCCATAGTGGAGGCCGGCATCTCTCTCGACTCTCCTTGTAGTCCTTAATCCACTTCCGAGGGTGGAAGGAGGGTTACATTCTTCCTTTCGCTCTACACACGATTTTTCGCTTTTCTCCTCCCGTTGTGCAGCAAGGCAGCCTACGAAGTTATAAAAAAATTCCTTTCTGACCAAGTTTGAAAGTTTGGTTGTGATTTTTTTTCTTCCTAAAGAAGAAAATGTGGAATATACCGAAAAATATAAGAAAATACTTCTATCACCCCTCTCCTTTAGAAGCATTGTGGATGGTTCCTTCCAGTCTCTTTTCTCTTTGTGTATCTATGTTTACACAGGGAACACAAAGAATTGTAATCATACACCTATGTAATTTGTATATTTTTCCACTTACCTTGAGCACTTTCCAATGTTATTAAATATTCCGAAGGGCGATTTTAAAAAGAAAAATAGGCTCTTATTCGAACACATGGACGTACTAAATTAATTTACTCAACTTTTTCACAAACACCCAATTTTTTATTTCTTTTTGCTGGTAGATAATAGTAACATTAAACCCTAGTATTTTAATGGTGCTTTATGATTTATAAAGCTCTTTTGAATTCAGTACCTACTTATTTTTTTTACCCTCATGAAAATTATTCAAATAATATAAAAGTCTATGATGAAAAGTCTCACTGACTCCTAACTCTGTACTTCAGACAATCGCTGTTACTAGTTGCTTGTATATCCAATCAGGGATAGAGAGATACATATATCTACATCTATATCTATATCTCTCAAACTACTTCAAAACAACAGGAATAAAGGAAGGATGGGAATGCCATGGATTTATGCCTTGGCTCTGCCACTTACTAGGTGACCTAACATAAGTTACTTTTCTCTCAGATCCCTTTGTTAAGTGGAGACACCAATTCCTCCCTTGCTTCCCTCTAAAGTTAATGTGAGCATCAAAGGACATGATGGCTGCCATTTGTGGTATGGATATACACACACACTGATAAAATAATATTCCAAGGTGATGTCAATTTGCAACCAAGATCAGGAAGTACTTAGAGGAAAAAATTAAAAAACACCAAAAGGAAATAATCACACAAATTCACAGTGTGGGGTCTTTTATAAGATTACTAACCTGACTTCTTAAAAAGATAAATTTCATTAAGAACAAAAAAAAAAAATGAAGGAAGGATGGGAAAAGGTAGGACACTGTTCCATAATAAAAGGGATTTAAGAGACATAAAAACCAAATACAATGTGAAAATCGGAATGCATACTGGCCCTAAAAATATTAAAATTAGCTCTAAATGCACCAGGAAAACCTGCAATTACAAACAGCTCTAAATTTTAGTGGCTTACAAAACAAATATTTATTTCTTGCTCAAGTCATTCATAGGCTCCTAGCTGGCTACTGCTATGCTCCTGGCTGGCTACTGCTATGCTCCTGGCAGATGTTCTGAACTATGTGTCTTCTCATTCCAAAACCCAGGCAATGATTCAAATGGCTTCTGCACTACAGGGTACATCTTGCTGCTCACATTATGTTTGCTAAAACAGTATTACAATATAGTCAACTACAAAGATTATAGGGCAGGGATGTATTGTCTTCCCACAGGGAAGTAAAAAGTGAGTAATTTTGAACAATAGTGCAATCTACTGCAATTGTGTATTAGTTGATAATAGGGAATTATTGTTAATTTTACTGGCACAACAATAGCAGTGTGGTTAGGCAGAAGAATAACTTTAATCTTAGGGGATACATGAAGAAAAAGTGGCAAAATATTAACAATTACTGAGTCCAGTGGTGGTCATATGGGTATTTATTATTTTTCCAATTTTTCTACATGATCTGGGTTGTGTCACCCAAAAAGGTAAGTTGGAGTCCTAACCCAAGGTACAGTGAATGCAGATGTAATCAATTAAGATGAGGTCATTAGGGTGGATCCTTAATCCAATATGATGAGTGCCCATGTGAACAGAGAAAACAGAAACACACAGAAGAGCACCATGTGGAGAAGGAGGCAGAGATTTGAGTGAAGGAGGCAGAGATTTGAGTGACGCATCTACAAGCCAAGAAAGGCCAAGGATTGTCAGCCATCACCAGAAGCTAGGAGAGAAGCATGGAAATAGGTGCTATCATTATTACCATTTTACAGATGTGGAAATTGAGTAGAGAGAGGTTAAGTAACTTGCCTAAGGTCACAGAACCAACAGGTGGTGATGTGAGAATTCCAAACCAGGCATTTTAACTACAGAGCTTATGCTCTTAGCCACTCCTCACTACTACCTCCTCTTCTCTCTCTCTCTTTCTCTGTTTTTATTCACCAGCTATACAGTAGTTTCTACCTGTACCAATTATTGAGTACTTCACTGAATCCTCAAATCATACAGGTACATGGGTCATCCAATCCCTTAATTCTCAAACATAATTTATTCATATACACCCTTTGTGAATTTTGTCATTTGCATATGCTACCTTATTTTTAAAATATTTTTCTTTATGTCAACTCTCTTCTTTTTAAATCCTTTTATTGGAAAAAATATTTTTATTGAAAATGAACATACCTATGGAAAAGTACACAAAACACGATGTAACCGGCACCCACTCAAAAAAAGAGAACATTGTCAGTTTCCAGGAGTCCATCTCAATTATTACTTCTCCTTTCCAGAGGTAATGGCCTTCTTAACATCTATAACTTAGTTATGTTCTTTTTTTTTAAGTAATCTCTACACCCAATGTGGGGCTTGACCTCATGACCCCAAGATGAAGAGTTGCACGCTCTACCAACTGAGCCAGCCAGGCACCCTAGTTATGTTCATTTTTAAACTTTATATAAATGAAATCTTCAGTACATATTCTTTGGCATTTGGTCTCTGGATCAACATTATGTTTGGAAGATTCAACCAAGTGTTGAGTGTAACTGTAGTTCATTTGTCTTCATTCTTCTGTAGTATCCCATAGTATAACCATACCAGTTTATCCACTGTAATTGTTGCTTACATTTTGGGGGTGATTATGAAAAATGCTACTCTGAGATCTCCCCCAGGTTTATCATTTAATACCAGGTACCATTCATTAAGTACTAGCAACTTTATATTGTACTGTACTAGCAACATTACATGACTATCTCATTTATTTTGCATAGCTGCCTATCGAGGTTGGATTTTCCAACAATGGAGTGTGGCTCCTATCCTTGAGAGCTGCAGCTATCAAGCCACTGCATTACCTGTTCCAAGAAGGAGGAAGGAGAAAGGGGAAGAGAGCAAAGCTCACACCTCCAAGCCAAATCATCTCTCTTTATCAGGTTTTTACTAAAGCTACACAACTTCTGCATATGTATTTTGAGCCTTCCTTCTTCCTTAACTGCAAGGGAGCCTGGGAAATGTAGTTCTTTTATCTGGGCACTTGGCCACTCCAATAATACAGGATATTTCCTCCCTCCCTCCCTTCCCTCCTTCCTTCCTCCCTTCCTTCCTTCCTTCCAAAAGAAGGGAGGAGTACCTGGGTGGCTCAGTCAGGTAAGTGTCCAGCTCTTGATTTCAGCTCAGGTCATGATCTCAGGGTCCTGGGATCGAACCCCGTATCAGGCTCCCCACTCAGCAGGGAGTGGGCTTGAGGATTCTCTCTCTCTCCTTCTGCCCCTCCCCCCACTTGAGAGCATGCATGTGAATGCTCTATAAATAAATTAATTTATTTATTAATAATAAATAAATAAATCTTAAAAAAAAAAAAAGAAAGAGGGGAGAATGCTATTGCATGGGCAACTGGAAGTTTCTGCCACAAAAACCAACAAGAGTAATAAAGCACAGCCTAACAGGCCCTGTACCTTGAACTCTAACTCCCAGACTGCTCTTCCTACCACCTTCAGCCAGTCTATAAGAAAAGAAATTAGAGAAGGAAAAGGAGAGACAGAGCATTGGTTGGAAATTCCAGGGGAGATGTTACTTTCTTCCCTTCCCATACTGCCCTCCACCACCTGCCTTGAGTCCCTCCACCTCCCACCCCCAGAACAGATAGTAGCCGGAGGGGGGAGGCTTCAAAGGCAGGCAAGAAGGGAGGACTATTTCCTTACTTACCAGCTGGGGACCTGCAGAGTTTTCCTGGTGCTGTCACTGTAGCAGGGTACCAGGAGAGTCACTGGGAGATCCTGATAGGTATTACCTCTTCTGCTCCCCTTGAGTTTGGGGGTGTATGTGAATGTAGACACCAGTGACTGCATGATACTTGGAGGTTTCTGAGGCAGCCTAGACCAGTAGATGAGAAGGATCAGCAATGTGGTATGGCTGAATAAAGGATGAGGATACCTCACTGCAGTCCCCCTCAGCCTTTAGGGCCTGAAAAAGGTCATCATCATCATTGGTTCCATAAGAAGGAGCTCAGAGGTTGGGGTGGGGGAAGGCAGGAGCTGGGAGTTGCCTCTGAGACCACTGGGCAAATAAAAGTCATCCCTCCTGCAGAAGATTTGGAGACAGAGTAAGCTGGAAGGGCCAAAGGCAGCTATGGCTGTTCCTCTCTAAGGGATCCTTGGAGATTAGGCTGGTGCTAAAAATGGCCCCAGGATAACCATGTACTATGCCAATGCAGGAAGAGAGAAGACTTCCCAGCACCAGGTGGAAGGCCAATTACACAAAAAGGCCTCTGCTTTGCCTACACTTCAACCCAGGTGATGCAGAGGATCTCAGAAACAGACTGTAGCTCCTACCTCCATTTCAGATTGTTGGAGTGGGGGCAGAGTGAAAGAGCAGACCCAGGGTCTCCTACTCTAAGCTCCTTCAGTAATAGGCCTGGCCAGTGCTGGGGCTGCAGGGAGGGCACTTGTCACAAAAAGACAAATACTGTATGATTCTGGAAACTCAATGAGTTGTGTAGTCATACTCATGCTAGGGAATAAGGGGAGTGGGTGAAGGGGAGTTATTGTTTAATGGATATAGAATTTCAATTTTGTAAGACAAAAAGAATTTGGAGATTGTTAGCACAACGGTGTAAATGATGCACAACACTATTGAGCTGTACACTTAAAAATGGTTAAGGTGGTAAATTTTATGTTACGTGTATTTTAC